ACACAAACACATAAAACACTCGATTCACAGTTAAACCTCAACTGACCAAACTGGAACATGCTTCTGGTTTTGGTTTGTGCTTCAGTTGAGTTTAACCACATGCTGTCGCCTGTATCTTTTTTTATTTCTGAAAACAAGTAGTCATAAAAATATACTAATAAAAAATTATTATTACAAAAATGGTCCATTAACTCATGCCAGGCCATTTTTAAAGAACAACTTAATTTTTTGACATTTGATTTATTGTGCACTACAATCCCATATTTACATTGTTATTTACATTATATTCTGAGTGAATTAACTAAATATCAAAATGAACGAAAGACCCTTTATCAATGAATCTGACAATGATGCGATTGAATTCATAAAGTCATAAACTCTTTTTTTCCCCAGCCAATAGAGATGTTCAATAGCCAAGACTTTAAGGTTTGTACACATAAAGAAAATGACTTTAAGTTTCAAGTTTCAACTATTTTATTGGCCCCAGTCTCTCCAATACTCCTAATATTACAGTGTAAAACAATATAATCTTGACATGATGCACAATGTACAGCACATGATATTTTATGAACATGTTTTATAGTCACACGTACAGTTGCTGCATTTGGATGGTGAATATTTTATGCAGCTCATAAACTCCCCCTCAGTATCCTGAAAACAATATTGAGAAACACAATATTAGAATTTCAGCTGCAGTTCAACCAAAATTAATCCAAACAAAAGGCTACTTTAGTTTTTTTTAATAAAAGGTAATCCGCAATCCAACATGATTATCAATATTTACTCATTAATTTTAGTATTGATATGAATGACTTCATATAATGCACCTGACTGGTTTGGGTCCTGAGGCTGATACATAACTTTTGTCAGCAGTAAATCAGCATTATAAATGCTTTTTTCCAGCCGTTCTGTTTTTCTAACTGCAAAAACTAAAAATGAAACAGTGAATTCAGATTAAAAAATCCTTAAATTTTAACAGTATATATGGAGAGACAAACAAAATAATAGTTAAAATACGAATTAATAGAAAAAACTTCATCTGTTGATTGGAGAAGAGCATCATCTTTATATTCTTACAAATGGCACCAGACACTAATATATTTCATTTCCTAATTTAATTTTTCTTAAAGAACAGTCACTCACCGATCAGCACAATGAGCAGAAGGCCGTTCATCAGTCCAGATATGATAATAATACTCTGCCATTGTGTGTGATTCTGATTCTGATCAATAAACTCCACCACTGTATGATTGAGACACTCGGTTAGTTGAGTTGATTCTGGAAAGAAAGGAAAAAGTGAAGGAAGTAAGTGACACATGAAAGCATCAATGTCTTGATCACTGAAGGAGTAAATGAACTCACCGGTGAAGTGCAGTCTGGTGCTGCTGCTAAGTTTCGGAGGTGTGCCTGTTTTCATACAGTAATAAACTCCTAATTCATCAGCGGTTACATTATTAATAACCAGACGGTGTTTAAATATCACAGAATATTTCTTTCTGAACGCATCATTTAAGTAAAAAGGTGATATTGGTGTTGGGAATGACCGTAATATCACTGTTGGAGGATCTGGTGTTTTCAGTAAAATCCAATAAACCTCATTTTCATCAAGATCACAGTTTATGGTCACATTTGATCCCACATCAGTGAGTTGATCTGAGACTGCAGCTCGACAACAGATTAATACATCTATGAGATAAAAACATGCATCAATTAAGATTTACTTAAAAGTTTAAGCTTACTTAAAACTGTGAAGTCATATAAATAACACTTTATGAAACAGCTGCAAGACTAATAATCATATGTACACTGCCATTCAAAAGTTTTGGATAGGTACGATTTTTAATGTTTTAAGCAGTCTCTTTTGATAAAAAAAATAAAAAAATAAATAAAAGTAAGATTTTTATATATTATGACAATTTAAAATACTGTAACTGTTTTCTATATTTGATCTATTTTAAGATATGATTTATTCCTCTGCTCAAAGCTGAATTTTCATCATCATTACTCCAGTCTTCAGTGGCACATGATGCTTCAGAAATCATTCAAATATGATGATTTGATGCTTAAAAGCATTCATTATTAATATCAATGTTGGATACAGTTTTGTAAAAAATAATTCATGATTCTTTGATGAATAGGAATCATTTAAAAAAAAATCTTTTGTAACATTATAAACATCTTTACGGTCACTATTGATCAATTTAATTAATCCTTGATGAATAAAAGTATTGATTTCTTTCATTTCTTAAAAATATTTTTTAAAGAAAATTTTTACTGACCCAACACATTTGAACTTTTGAAAAGCTTTATATGTCAAATAAATGCTGTTCTCTTGAACTTTCGATTCATCAAAGAATCCTGAAACAAAAGTGTAAATAACTGCTTTTAACATTGATAATAATGAGAAATGTTTCTTAAATCCTCACATTGAAGGATGACACTGACAACTGGAGTAAAGATGTTAAAAATTAAGCTTTGATGGATTAAAATAGACTTTACCTTAAATTTACATAGAAAACAGCTGTTTTAAATTATAATATTTCACAATATTACTGTTTTTATTAAATAAATGCAGCCATTTATTTAAGAGACTTTTTTTTAAAAAACAAAGAAAATCTTACCGATCCAAAACTTTTGACTGGTAGTGTAAATATCATGTAATAAACTCACAGAGCTGAAGCCGAATGATCTTCATGTTGTTGTCGTGATTAAAACACTTCAATATGAATCGGTTCCTCCACACAGAAGGTCAGATGAAGTTTACTGCCGATCTGAAGCAAAAACAGACACAAATCCGACACAGATCGAGTTCTCTGAACATGTAAATAATGTAAATGAGCGACTGATGAACATGTGCAAGTGAAAGTGTGATGTTTCAGCAAACAGACAATTACATGGAAACTAGAGAGAGTCAACAAGTGACAGTGGCATCCAGCGGTGAAACTGAGTGCAACACTTCCATTTACCGCCTCTAGAGGACAGCAGAGGAACTGCAATATCTCCTTCAGATAGATCCTTTTCCTATTTAGCACTAACACTTTGAAACAGTCATGCTACCATTGACCGGATCCACATCGCATCCAGATCTGATGAAGGACCATCGCCTGGACACGACGACAACACAAGTGTCAACTAGTCTCTCCCCTGTGAAGGCCTCCTCCCTTTACCTCTGTACAGATAACACATTATCCAGATAATTTCGATTGGCGTGGCTATGCAGAAGCGACAAAAAATTCTGTATTATACATTTTTTAGACCTGACAAGTAGTTTGTTGAGGGTTGATTTGTGAAGAAGGACTACAGGCCTGTGCACATATTGTCACAGTGTTTGGTTTATGTTCCCTGATGTCCACTAGAGGTCCTCTTTCCCAACTGTATCATTCACTTCTGAATTCCCCACAATCCTTGTCTCCGCTCACCACTGTTCATTGCACTCAGCTGTTCCCCATCATGATTGTCATGTTCTGTGTGTATAAATACATTGCCTGTTTAGTGTTTGTTATGGAGTCCCTGTTTATTGTCACACCACTTCTGAGGTCTGTTTTCTTGCTTGTTATTGTTTTGGTTCTTCTGTTTGGATTGATTAATTGGATTTTGACCCCTGCCTGGATGACTATGATTTTGGATTACCCTATATAAAAGACATACTGCTTATGGATCTACTTTCCCTGTTTCCTGTGGGTGTATCGTGACAGAAGGACTCCATCACTACAAGATCCAGCGGTATGTGTTCTAATCTAATCTCTCTTCCCCAGCCACCCAGAGCTCCATCCGCCGCTGTTTCTGTCCAGCCCAGAGCGTGCATATCGTCATCAGAAATGGTGGAGGAGGAGGAAGACCTCCAGCCTCCTCAAGAACCCGGAGGCAGTGCCCCTGCAGCCTGGTGTTTTTCCAGAGGCCGTACAAGAGACTGTTCACGTCACGTCTGCCGATCCAGAGACTGCTCACGTCATGTCTGTGGAGCCAGAGACTGTTCACGTCTCGTCTGCCCAGTCAGAGACTGTTCAGGTCATGTCTGCCCACCCAGAGATGGTTCACATCACGTCTACCCAGTCAGAGTCGGTTCACTTCACGTCTGCCCAGCCAGGGACTGTTCATGTCACGTCTGCCCTGCCGGAGACGGTTCACGTCGAGTCTGCCCAGACAGAGATGGCTCATGCCACGTCTGCCCAGTCAGAGTCGGATCAGGGGGGTTTCCATTCTCGTGGCCGCGAGGGTACTGACCGACTATTTGGAACATCTAGCTCAGATCCTGGAGATGCCCTTGTCTGTTGTTCAAGGGCCAGAGCCAGTGTTTGCTGTTCCAGAGCCGGAGACGTGTTGTCTGTTCTTGTTGCTGAGCCGGTGTAGTCTGTTCCTGTTGCTGTTCCTGAGCCAGTGTCGTCTATTCCTGTTGCTGATCCTGAGCCTGTGTCGGTGTCTGAGCCAGTGTCTGTTCCTCAGCCGTGGCTGCCTGAGGGGTCGTCTCCGGCCTGGCCGCCTGAGGGGTCGTCTCTGCCCTGGCCGTCTGAGGGTTCGTCTCCGCCGTGGCCGCCCGAAGGGTCTTCACCGCCCTGGCTGCCAGATAGACTGACTGCCTCGCCCTGGCCACCCGATGGACTTTCTGTTTCGCTCCTGGCTGTCAGCTAAGCCGTCACCCCTTGTTCCTGTTTCCCTTCATGGACCTGGCCCACCACCCCTTCCCCTGGTCCTCCACCGTTACACCTCCCGAAGAGTCGTCCAATAAGCCAATAAGCGCTCGCGGTGAGTGTGATCGCAAACAGCTGAGCATGAGCGCACGTGCAGAGTGAGGAATTAAAACAAGACATAAAAGAATGAGATATCTCATTCCCGGCTCATGACCGGCATGGGATTTAAATAACTTACATGGTAGTCAGGTGTTCTTAGAAAAGATACCATGTGATTTACTAGATATCAGACTATGTTTTATGTAAACTGCAAAACCTGTTAGACTGGATCTAAACCTATATTTGTATATTGTAAGCAGGAAGAGTTCAAGTCTCTTTGGTTTTGACTTGATACTCATCACTCGGATGGTTGCAGCCTGTTAGCAAGCTAAATATAAAGTGTGTTATACTCTAAAGAAAAAAATATGTTATATGCATGTACACCTAAAAGTATGAAAGTTAATTTACACTATCTTTTTCAGGATAATGAACAGCATGTAGAATAAAGGACCATCTCTAAACTTGAGGAGCACCTCAACTGTCTGACTGTTGATCCATCGCTCAGCAATATGGGTAAGAAGACAAATATATATATGATTATTCACATTACCGAATGAGATTTGTTCTTATGTTGGAGGACATTGATGAATCTGAGAATGGCTCTTCATATTCTAGATCCCAATCAGACCATTTTGTTATTTGGAAACTCTGCGGCAGTCCAGTTTCAACATGACAATATTCTACTTGGAGAAATACAAGCAGATACTGGAGATGTAGAAATGTCCTGGATTGTTCCTTTCCAGATGAAGATATCAGGACGTCGTGTCTCAGTGATCAACATGATTGGCTTGCATGAGAGTGCACTTGACCTGGATCCCCTCACTGGTCAACTAGTGAGTGAAAATAAAATAATCTCCTTCATCTTTGTTGTGCGACTGGGTCAGCTAACAGACGCTGATAAGATGGGTATTGAGTGGATTCAGAGAGTATTTGGTGACAGAGTTCTTCAGTTTGTGATGATTCTCTTCACCTATGAGAGCGAAGAAGAGTCTGACTCTATAATAGACGATCTGAAGGGAAATTCTGCTCTGGAGCGGCTGCTGAAGAAATGTGGTGGACGATATCATACCTGCAGCAAGAACATGACCAAACAGTCAGAGATGAGAGACCTGATGAGCAGAGTTGAGCATCTGTTTATTGAGAATAACCAGCAGTACTACACTAGAGAGATGTACAACACTGCGCTAAGAAAGAGAGAAGATGTGCAAGACAGGAACACAAGAGGTAAGAACACAGATTTGGTTTCATTGACATTATGTTGGCTTTCTGACATGTTTATTTGCCCCTGACTCTAACACTTCTATTCATGATTTTTTACTTGTACTTGTAACTGAGCTGAGATTCAGAAGCTAAATTTAGATTTGAATGAAATAAAACATTTGAATTAAAAACAAAGAAAACCAAAAACTTCCAGAATCAATTAACAGATTTGACCAGACGAACATGTTACATAGTGAAAAGGCTTTAAAAAAACAATGAAAAAAATTATACAGAAAACACCTGGAGATAATTAAATCAAAAAAGGCTACAACAAAAAAAGAAACTGCTACAACAGTATCATAGACTCAAAAATGTTGGTATGTTTTGTTAAACTGAGACTATAAGTCTAACTTAAAGTCCCCGTGAACCGGAAGTTGCAAACGACTTTTCTCCAGTGTTGTGACGTATTTCCGAGAGAAACGGAATACTAAATGAGGCAAAATAGTCGGCGTGGCTTTTTTTTCCGACTAGCACCTGATTGGATCTAGAAAAATGGATGTTTCATTCTGAAATGGAGGATGACGCAAGTTTACACACGCTGTCAATCAATGCTCGCTTGGCGCTCGCAAACACACAGCAGCTGTCAGTTAGATGGGCGTGGTTATGGATGTTAAGGAGACACCCAAACCGTAAAGCCTACGTCATCAGGCAAGGTCCTCCAATGCAGAGGGGAGGGGCATTTTTAAAAATTTGATTAAAGATTACGAAGCCAAAAATTTTTTTTTGAGTGGATTGACTTGCATGTATGAATTGTTCTGCACAAAATGATCAATTTAGGCAAACAAAGTATGGTCAATTTTGATTTCACAGGGACTTTAATGTTATACGCTGTGTAGTTCGGTCACTGTGTAGTTCGGTCACACAGGAAGCAGGAATCAAGAATTCAAGCACTGCAGACAAAGAGAGAAACTATCTAGATAATTATTTGAAACACACCTGAACTGAACTAACACAATCAATTAGAAACCATTAATGATCTTATCTATTTTAATATTTCTGTCACATTTTCTGTTCTGTCACAAGATCAAACCACAATTATTGAAAAGAGTATGGACTACACCTCGACAACAGAGACAAGAGAGAGACGTGAGGTAAGTGTTGAGTTAGTGTAAAAATAGAGGGAGAAAGAATTCAATGAATGTAGACATACAGCTTACGGAGTGTGGTTCCTTATTATCATTCTTTCCTTATGATAGTTTCCCTTGACCTTTTATGGTTTTGGAGTTATTTAAATATTTACCGATGACTGTACTACATAGTCACATTTTCTCATCAAAACTTTCAGATATTTTGCTTTTATAAAAACACTAACATATACATCTTAAATATATGGTTTTACACATTTTATTGCACATCTGTCATGTGCACTACTTTCCAAAGACTGCTAATCATGTGTACACAGTTTGCTAATGAGAAAGAAGGTTTCTTTCCAACAATTACTGGTTGTACTAAAATCCAACTCAGCAAGCAATATTGCTTTTAAAAGACGTCTAATAGCCGTCCAAACACAGCCCTGACGTCTAGGCTTAAAGGAGAAGAAATTTGGGCTGTCATTGAAAATTTTATACACATCAAAACCAACGCCCAATAATAGACAGGTCATCAATTAGATAAATGTCAAAGAAATTAAACCAAACAACTTGTAATCACTGTCGACTTTGCTTACATGATGAAATATCATACATCTTGCAAGTTATTTTGGCAAAAATTGACATGTAACCAAATTCAAGGTTATTTTGGCTAGAAGTGGGTTACTCATACCTGGACTATATCGGGTCTATAGTTAACCTAGATGGTGAAATGACGGCTAATACTTGATGGGGAAAGGTTCATACTTATTTAAGTTGATTGTAAATTGTTTTAAGCTAACACTTGTGCTGTATATTTTTCAGGGAGAGACGCGATCAATTGATGGTGCAAGATTGGATCAAAGAGGAAACGGAAGGGGGGATAAAGTAGAGCATCTATTTCACAGGCTTCATCTTGATAAAAAGCACCCCTTTCAACTAAGAGCTGCAGATGTTCTTCAACTAACTAAACATTCATTAGAGTCTTATGAGTCTTGTGCTGAGGAGGACCTGATTCAGGCTTTCCTGAAAAAACTGCTGATGATGAACTACAGAGCAAGATGCATTAAAACTGAAGATACTCAGCATGACAGACAACAACTTAACAATGATTTATCTGATGATGAGGGTGATGTTGATTTATACAGCGAAATATCTCCTGAAGAAACCAATAGAAAAGATGCTATTCACCCAATGGATGTCCAGATGGCCGCAATTTATTATGCTGACAGTTTACTAAAGCAGCTCATGGTGACTAAACTATCTCAGTGTCAGTACGCTCTGCCTCTGCTTGTTCCTGATCCATTCACACAAGAGATTGAGTTTCCTCTCTGGACATTCAGACAAATCAACAAGAGCTGGAAGATGAGGAACACGCACAATGAAATCATCAGTAAAATCCAACCAGTCTGGAAGGCAGAAACATGCATGGTTTCTTTCATTAGGTTTGGTTCATTGTCCTCATCCAAATCTCAGCTGATGAACAGTCTGATCAATGAGAAACACAACACGTTCTTCCACAGGCACTGTCCAGGCAGCAGCAACACCAGAGTACTGATGGATGGAGTGGTGGAGATCGCCTGGTACTGCCCCTCTGGGAAAGACACAGATAAATTTACTCAGTGTGTTGCGTTCTGTAACCTTCACGGTGATGCAGGAGACCATGAGAAACAGCTGGAGATCCTCACTGAAATGGCCTCAGTCAATGTTGTTATCCTACCACGACTTGACAAGAATGACAAGAATGCAGTAAAGATCCAAAACCTGTTCAAGGACAAAAAGCCACTCATTTTTCTTTGTACTGAGGATGAATATAGTCTAACTCAAGTGAAGAAAGGGAAATACAAAATTGGACTTGATAACAGAAATCAATCAGATGTATCTGAAGAACTCATAAAAACTATAAATAAATGTCTCTCATCCTCATCATCAGAGCCATATTTTATTTTCAGGATTGAAGATGTGTCCAAACACTCGGGTATCAGAGTAGATGAGGATCATGACAATGACTGTAGAAGAGGGAAAGAAGCAGCACAGCAGATTATGAGTTTACTGAAAGATAAAAATCTGACAAAAATTAAAGAATCATTTCTGCCCTGTCAGGGGAAACTGTGGCATCAGTGGTGTGACAAAAACAAAGAACTACATCGATCTCAGGGGAATGAAACAGACATGGAAATAAAACAGAAACAAGAAATGAAGGAAATCCGTAAACAGCAGCATGCGCTGAACATTGGTGGGTTCATGAATTTGTTTATTGCAAAAATTAATTCACAATCTCCAAATGAGAAGACATTTTTTCTGAAATGGCTCGCAATCTTCCTGGATGAATATACCTCAGCTGACCTTTCTGCTCTACATTATAAGTATAATGAAAAATGGTCAAAAGTCCGAGCTGCGCAACAGATGACCAATGAACACACAGAACTTCATAGGATATCAGAAGAACTTCAAGCTGCAACCTTTGGCTTGGAGCACATCCTGAGGGAGATCGGTCAGATCTATGAATCATGTAAATCAGTGAATAGCAACAAGGAAGGCCTGCCGTGTAATTTTACTTTCCTCCCGAGTCTTGCAGCAGACATGATGATCTCTGGATTTCCACTGGAGTTGATGGATGGAGATGCTGCTCATGTTCCTGTGGTCTGGGTTACTGCTGTTCTGCATGAACTCATCAAGAAACTGGGAGACAAGAGAGTCTTTGTGCTGTCAGTTTTAGGGATTCAGAGCTCAGGGAAATCCACTATGCTGAACGCCATGTTTGGACTGCAGTTTGCCGTCAGCGCTGGCAGGTGCACCAGAGGAGCTTTCATGCAGCTGATCAGAGTGTCAGAGGAGATGAAAGAACAGCTGAAGTTTGACTATATTCTGGTTGTCGATACTGAGGGGCTCCGTGCTCTAGAACTGTCTGGAAGGTCAACAAGACACCAAGACAATGAAATTGCCACATTTGTTGTTGGTCTTGGTAATATGACACTGATCAATATCTTTGGAGAAAGCCCATCAGAGCTGCAGGACATTCTTCAGATCGTTGTTCAGGCCTTCATGAGGATGAAGAAGGTCAGACTGAATCCCAGCTGTATGTTTGTCCATCAGAATGTTTCGGACATCACAGCTGGAGAGAAGAATATGGAGGGAAGGAGGCGGCTGCAGGACACACTGGATGAGATGACAAAACTCGCTGCTAAAGATGAAGTCTATGTTGCAGAGTGTTTTAATGATATCATTACTTTTGATATACAGAAGGATGTGAAATATTTTGCACAGCTCTGGGAGGGAAGCCCACCAATGGCACCACCAAACCCATCATACTGTGAGAACATCCAAGAGCTAAAGACAATGTTTTTTGACCATGCCTCAAAATCAGATGGGTTAGAGTTGACACAACTAAAAGTTCGAATTAATGATCTCTGGGAGGCTTTACTGAATGAACGGTTTGTATTCAGCTTCAAAAATGCTCTAGAAATTGCAACATACAGAAAGCTAGAGACAGAATACAGCAAGTGGTCCTGGAGTCTTCGCAGAACCATGCTGGAAATAGAGAACAAACTCTACAACAACATCGAAAATGAAACAATTAATGAGGTTTCAGAAAGTGATCTTCACGGAAAACTAAAAGAGAAAAGTGAAGAAGTAGAAAAATCAATGTCAGAATTCTTTGAGAAAGACAAAGATAAAGATATACTGATACAGTGGAAAACATCATTTGACATCAAAGTTAAAGAGCTTCAGGAGAACATTGTGAGAGAAACAAAGAGGAAATTAAATGAGATTCTTCAGCAGCGAGATATAAAGAAAAAGATTGATGCTCAGAGGACGCGTTATGAAAATACCCTCTTGGAAAAGAGCAAAGAACTCGCCTTAAAACTCAAAGACAAAGCCAATGATGAAAAAATCCTGAGAAAAGAGTTTGGAAAGTTTTGGGAAGAGTGTGTCAAGAAGATTACCACTGAAACTCCTTCCATCAAAACCATTGATGTGTTAAAAGACGTGAAACAATTCCTCAGTAACTATAAAAGTGTTCCTGTCAACGAATGGAAGAAGAGAATGGATGTTTTCTCTGTGCGGCGTTATTCAGATTATATACAGTTCAAGAAATCAAGTGGAATTACAGGATATGTTACAAATCCCTTCAGATCAGCTAAACAGAAATTTCAGGTTGAAACCCAAATTAGAACCCTGGTCAATGAGATTGCTGAGCAAGCAGACAAAAAAATCATGTCGTTTAACATTGCAAAGATGGGCTACAACAAAACCTACATTCAAGAACTCGTAGAATATATCAAAGCCAGAGTAGAAGATTATGAGCAAGGCTCCAGGAACTTTGTGTTTACGAAGGAATTTTACATGGATTTGATAATTTCCATCTCTAAGAGAGAAAACAAGTTAATTACTGACCAGCATACAATGTTTAGGGAAGCCAACGATCCTGTTTTCTACTTTGAAAAGAAGAAGAAAGAGTACTACAGTATTTTTCAGAAATACTGTCAAGGTGCAACATCAGCTGCCATTTTTGGTGAGATCATCTGTCAGAAACTGAAAGAGCCCATTCAAAAAAGTGTCTACAAAGATACTGCCGGAGATTTGACAAATGAAATTAAGACAAACTGTGAATCGCTAGTTTCATCAAAGAGGAAGTCAATCGGTACATAACTGATAACTTCAGAGTCAGTGTTCGGCCCAAGATGAAGGAGAACATTGAAATCCTGCAACAGAAGATCATGGAAGCGGCTCATAGAGCAACTACACTGGTTAACACAACCAGCGGAGATGTTCAGAAGTGGCTAAATTACTTCACACTGCAGCTCTCAGATGTGCTGATATTCTCTGTAAAGGACCTCAGTGGAGTGAGTCAAGATGGTGTTGATGATTTCAATCTTCTAGAAGTTGTGATAAGTGAAGAACTTGGTTCAGTATCATCTGAAATGCAAAATAAATTCAGCAAAGAGACATTTCCAGAAAATCTGGAACACAAGGACAGACCCGATGAGATTCTGATTGATCATCTCTGTCAGTGCTGCTGGGTTCAGTGTCCGTTCTGTGCTGCCACTTGCACTAACACTGTAGAAAACCATACTGGAGATCACAGCGTTCCTTTTCATCGGGTGGATGGACTCAGTGGATGTTGTTATGAGGAAACAGAGTGTCTCAGTGCAGATTTTTGCACAACATTAGTGAGAACTGGTAAGATGTTCTACAGGTCAGTGGATTCCATGTAGAGAATACAGAAATGCAGGAAATGTTTATGCAGAGTGGAGCATCACCCCCGACTTCTCTGAGCTGCCATACTGGAAGTGGTTTGTGTGCAGATTTCAGAAAGATCTGGAAGAATACTTTGAGAAAACATTCCACAGGTGGGATGACATTTCTTACGGATGGAGCCATTACTCAAAAGAGCAAGCTATCGAGAGTTTGGATGATTACATCTAATGACAAATGAAAATGAGCCAATTGTAGGTCACTAATTCATAGACCGCAGTTTGAAATGAGTTTCTGAAATTTAGGCTTTTCTGTCTCGAATCTTCTGGGATTTTTCTTCCTATAAATAACATTCAAAATGATACTTCCAGTAGAAAGTAGTTCAAAAATAGTTATGTTAGGTATTCAGCTATTATCAAAGATTAAACAAAATATATTAATGTTTGTTAATTTTTAAGAGATTAAAATTATTGTATTTGAGTGAATAAAATATTGGTGGGTCACTATCTAATATTGTGTTCCCGTATTTAGAGTATGGAAACTTCCTGTATATACTGAAATGTATAAATATTAAGGTTGTAGGGAGTATAGCAGTAGCTAACAACATTATTGAGTAAATGGTAACAAAACTAAAATAATAGCATTTCATGTCTGCAGTGTGCACTGGGACATTTGACGAGTTCAATGATTTGCTTAAGTACCATTAGTGTATCTTCACTGAGTGTATATTCATTTATATGTGCAAATGAAAATAAATCAAATTAAATGATTGCATCAATAGTATTATTTAGTTGTGTTAGTTAGATGTGTTGATTTGATGACTCTTGTCGTGAAATTAGGCTTACACCATTTAACTTGTTTAACGGGGTGGTTGATTGTGATTTCACTGTTCTAACTTCAAAGCGATCAAGTCCCTACCCTCTATCAGAGACCATGCGAGCAGGAGAACTGTAAAAACAGAATTTTTAACTCACTCCAGTGGCTCAGCAGTGCAGTAGCACTAGAGATTGGTGAAATGGCCAAATGTTCTCAGGATCTCTTCATGGAGAGAAGACTCATTCAATGAATAGGTTCCTCTTCTAATTTAGCGAAGCACAACTTTTTTCTTAAAGGGGGTGCTTGTAGATGTGATGGTCACATAACGTAGCCACCTGAACCTCCCCTTCCAGTTTTTTGAATGTGGGTGCCATCCTGCCTCGTCCTTGAAATGTATTCAGGGGAAGTCAGGAAGGCTGTCGAGGGAACTAGGTCTGGTTGGGCCAATGAGGGACAACTATCAAGACCTGTTCCACTCATGACTTAGCACAGTATGTGCAAGCGACATGCATGCACAAGACAGTAGCACTGCTCAACATTAGATGTGAATCTCACTGAGCTTCAGGAGCCTTTCTGCTCAAAAACTGAGTGTGATAAAATCACTGAACTTGAGCAGCGCCAAGCAATGAATTCCATAGCCGCTTTCTCAGAAGACTCACAGGGGAACGCATTTCTGCAGTGTCCCAGGGTCAGCTGAGAGCCAGTGTCTGTCCAACCTTGGGGATGGAGCATTTGAAAATGCATCTCTGTGTAGTGTCCCTTTTCAATTGACACAGGTCAAAGATGGCCATAACCCAACAAATATCTAGGGTAGAATGAAGTACAGGTTAAAAGAAACCGGTCCTCATATTGGCTGAGGAAGGGGCTACATCGTATCCTTAGCCAGTAGGACAACAATGTGCACACACAGGACAGGAGCAGCGCTCAACATGTAGGTGTGAAAAAATATCACTAATTTTGGGAGCATCTAGCTCAACACTTAGGTGTGAAGAATATCACTGAGCCAGGGCAGAAGCAAAGCGAAATGAATCGCAAGCCAAGTCTGCTGGTCAACTCAGGGCCAAGTGGAGCGGTAGGAAGCACTTGAGGCTTACACACACCATACCAGGGGCCAAAGAGACCTCAGACGTACCTGAAGTGGGGCAGCGAGGTGGAGAAAAGGGCCCCAACTCGAGAGGCCCGGAGGTGGCCTAAATCAGGGTCTGAGTGTGCAGTGCAGCTGCAGTTGCAGTTACCTGACTTCACTGAGTGGCAGGGGATACCTGAGAAGGCGGATGACCGGGTCCTCGAACTGCATTTAGATGCCGGCAGGCGAACAAGTGGGAGGTGAAGGGTGCAAGGCTTGCCAACTAGCCCTCTTGGGGCCCAGGAAGGGAGAAAATACTCTTTATTTGAAAATGTGGGTACCACTGGCTACCGCTTTTTTGGGAACCAACAGTGGTACACACACACAAAAACTTCAACTTCACTTGGCCCTCTTACGAGTGAAGGGAGCGGCCGGTGACCATCTCCAAGAGCATTTTAAAGAGCACTCTGTCCTATTACGAGTGAAGGGAGCGGCCGGTGACCATCTCCAAGAGCATCCCTAGGTGGCCCGTCTCAGGTTTAACGCTTTTGCTGTCGCTTGCCACCTGGCTTGGCAGCGTCTGAAGCAGGCGGGGTGCCACTCCTGCGGCCGGCTACATGCTGAGGCCTAGGTGGAGGCCGCTATGATGGTCCAGCGTGAGCTGCATCCATCGTGCCCAAGAAGGCAAGGTCGGTTGCAGTGCAGAGCTCATTCGTGATCTCACAGTCTGGGCTACCCTCATGCATGTTCATGAGTGCCTGGGCCTGGTGGACCTGAAGCTACGCCATGGCATGCAGAGAGGAAGCGGCTGGCCCACAGACTTTGTAAGCCTTGCCCATGAGAACGGACAAGTACTTACAGGCCTTAGTTGGGAGACGAGGATCCCCTTACCATGAGGTAGCGGCCGCTGGGCACAGCTGCATCGCAACAGACTGCTCCACTGGAGGGATAGCCTCGTAACCTTTCACTGCTCATAGCCTTGCTCACCCGTCAAGGGTAGTGAGGGGGGTGGAGCTAGTCAGGTGATTTCTGGAAGAGAAAGGTGCCACTCATGCCCTTGTCAACTCCTCATGCACTTCAGGAACTAAAGTTACAGGAGCGGCGTTCACGGGGCTTTGCCGGGTGGATTGCCCCTCACCGTAATTATTGAGTCACCCAGCCCAGATCGCACGCTGGGTATTTTCTGGAAAGGTAACCCAGAAGAGACAGTAGAGTGGAGCCTGGGGATGGAGACTCCAGCTTTGCGAATGAAGGCTAGTCTCGACCTTAGTACAGAGGCGGTCATATTCCCGCAATGAGAAAATTACTCATTCACAGTGATATAACAGTATCTAGTGTGAAGGTGATTTCCATGCATTAAAACACTTGTCAATCTCTAGGACATTAATGCAGACAAAGCAATGCTGCTGTTTCCACTTGAGGTTTAGACAACTGTGAGAACTGAGATACACAAACACACATAAAACACTCGATTCACAGTTAAACCTCAACTCTAGACAAAGGTGACAGACTCTGTTCATCACTAGTTGTGAGCTGACCAAACTGGAACATGTTTCTGGTTTTGGTTTGTGCTTCAGTTTAACCACATGCTGTAGCCTGTATCTTTTTTTTCCTCAAAACAAGAAGTCATAAAAATATAGTAATTATAAATTATTATTATAAAAATGGTCCATAACTCATGCCAGGCCATTTTTAAAGAACAATTTATTTTTTTTATGTTTAATTTATTGTTCACTATAATCACATTTTTATTTACATTATATTCTGAGTGAATTAACTAAAGTTTACATCAATGAACAATGAACGAAAGACAATGAATATGACAATCTTTGTGATTGAGTTCATTAAGTCATAAACTCCTCGTATTTTTTTCCCAGCCAATAGAAATGTTCAACAGCCAAGACTTTAAGGTTTGTGCACATAAAGAAAGAGACTTTATAATCGATTTTCAACAATTTTATTGGTGTAAAAGTAAAAACCAGCCCCAGTCTCTCCAATACTCCTGATACACTGTAAAACAATATAATCTTGACATGATGCACAATGTAAAGTCCATGATATTTTATGAACATGTTTTATAGTCACACGTACAGTTGCTGCATTTGGATGGTGAATATTTTATGCAGCTCATAAACTCCCTCTCAGTATCCTGAAAACAATATTGAGAAACACAATATTAGCATTTCAGCTGCATTTCAAACAAATTTTTTTTTTTTTTTTTTTTAAATAAAAGGTCATCAGCAATACTACACTATTATCAATACTTACACTCATTAATTTTAGTATTGATATGAATGACTTCATATAATGTACCTGACTGGTTTGGGTCCTGAGGCTGATACATAACTTTTGTCAGCAGTAAATCAGCATTATAAATGCTTTTTTCCAGCCGTTCTGTTTTTCTAACTGCAAAAACTGAAAATGAAACAGTGAATTCAGATTTAAAAATCCTTAAATTTTAACAGTATATATGGAGAGACAAACAAAATAATAGTTAAAATACGAATTAATAGAAAAAACGTCACCTTCCAATTGGAGAAGAGCATCATCTTTATATTGTTACAAATGGCACCAGACACTAATATATTTCATTTGCTAATTTAGTTTTTCTTAAAGAACAGTCACTCACCGATCAGCACAATGAGCAGAAGCCCGTTCATCAGTCCAGATATGATAACAATACTCTGCCATTGTGTGTGATTCTGATTCTGATCAATAAACTCCACCACTGTATGATTGAGATACTCGGTTAGTTGAGTTGATTCTGGAAAGAAAGGAAAAAGTGAAGGAAGTAAGTGACACATGAAAGCATCAATGTCTTGATCACTGAAGGAGTAAATGAACTCACCGGTGAAGTGCAGTCTGGTGCTGTTGCTGAGTTTTGGAGGTGTGCCTGTTTTCATACAGTAATAAACTCCTAATTCATCAGCGGATACATTATTAATAACCAGACGGTGTTTAAATATCACAGAATATTTCTTTCTGAATGCATCATTTAAGTAAAAAGGTGATTTTGGTGTGGAGAATGATCGTAGAATCACTGTTGGAGGATCTGGTGTTTTCAGTAAAATCCAATAAACCTCATTTTCATCAAGATCACAGTTTATGGTCACATTCGATCCCAGATCAGTGAGTTGATCTGATACTGCAGCTCGACAACAGATTAATACATCTATGAAACATGCATCATAATTAAGATAGCTTATTTAAAACTGTGAAGTCATATAAATAACACTTTATGAAAAAGCTGCGAGATTAATAATCATATGCACACTGCCATTCAAAAGTTTTAGATAGGTGTGATTTTTATTTTATTTTATTTTTTTAGAACTCTCTTTTGCTCACCATGGCTGCAGTTATTTGCTTAAAAATACAAAAAACAACTGTAATATATTGTTAAATATTATGACAATTTAAAATACTGTAAATGTTTCTTTTTCTTTTTGAACTATTTTAAAATTTAATTTATTCCTGTGATCAAAGTTAAATTTTCAGCATCATTATTCCAGTCTTCAGTGGCACATGATGCTTCAGAAATCACTTTAATCTGATTTGATGTTTAAAAAACATTCATTCTTATTATAAATTTTGAAAACAGTTTTGTACAATGATTTTTTCATGATTCTTTGATGAAAAGAAAGTTCAAAAGAACAGCATTTATAAATAGAATATTTTGTAACATTATACATGTCTCTATGGTCACTTTTGATCAATTTAATTAATCCTTTATGAATAAAATTATTTATTTATTTTATTTTATTTCATAAACATATCTGTAAAAAAAAACTGACCCCAAACTTTTGAACGGTAGTCTTTAATGTTTATTCATCAAAGAGTCCTGAAATAAAAATGTAAATAACTGTTTTAACATTGATAATAATGAGAAATGTTT